AGAACAGGAAACTGGTTTTAAAAGTGTCTTGTTCTAAATCGTGGTAGGAAATATATTTATTTAAGTAGAAGTAAATATTTGCATTGGCTCTGGAATCGGTTAGTTTTGCTGTGGGTTTTGGCATGTCCAATCTAAGAGACAGGTCCTTAATTACCTCACATAATGAGATTTCTTTCTTCAATTATACACGGATATATTTATTTTGTCAATATTCGATTATTTCAAGTAATAGCTATCGAGTTACTATCGAATTTTTATAGCCGGTCACCTCATTTGCATATTTTGACGTATTTGCGAGATGCATAGTTTGTTCAACATGTAAAGCCCGTATCGCCGAAAATGGGCATAGTGAGATTTATGCAAATGAGGTGGCACGCCTAAATACGAGGATAGTAAGTACTTACTTTTTAGTCGCAACTAGCCAAAATTACTTTTTCTATAACAAGAAAAACAATGAGTATATCAACCATTCCATCGTAACCCATGTAATGTTAGAATATTTTGATATTTTTATAAGATTTTATTTTTCAAATTGACGCTACTACGTAAATAAATCCATAATTTTTAAATTGATACAATCATCGGGTCTATAAATACTTACATATTGCGATGTTCAGAACAATATTCAACTTGCGTTGGACCACTCTTAAGACTGAACCCCAAAAGGTGAAACCTCTATCTATGTACATATCTAGTTGTATGAAGAGCTACAGACATATGCACATACATACCACAAACGTTCAAAACATTCCTTAACAGCGTTAAAAATATTCCTTTGCAACATGTAAAAAATTCCCTAGCAACGTCAAAAACATCCCTGGCAATGTTAAAAAAATTTCCTTAACGTAATTAAAAACATTCTTTAACGACGTAAAAAAATCCATATCAACGTTAAACAAATCGCTTTTGAACATGAATAAATTCCTTTACAAAAATCCTTCAAATGACTTTTAAATCGAAGAAATTCTGCCATTACTTATTTTCATTAATAAAGACATGCCGCTTGACCACTCGCATATTAAAATAATTCACGTCGCAATGAAGCTACCACATGTTTAAGAAGCTTCAAAATTATCCAACGACATTCACCTCCAAAGCTTATCAAAGGCAACGTAATAAGAATTCCACATCCTAGGAAAAGAGTAGAAATTGAACTATCAAGTTTCACAGAATTTAATATCGGTCGATCCACCTTCCCCCCCTGATTTCCTCCGTCGACTTAATTCCCTTGTCCATATCTCCTCTTCCAGTCTCCACCAAATGCCGGACTCAATTGTTGCCTTGAGGTTTCGTGGAACAGTTGACTTGTCCAACCCATCAAATAGAAGCCCATTGATAATGTCTCCAAATGAATCTTTGCTAACGTAAAACTCTTTCCAGTAGTACTTTCCTGACAAATACAAATATTCTTGCCGAATATGATCTGTGCCAGCCAGAAATATGACTTTCTGACAGCTGGAAACATCCCTCTCCACGAGGATTCGAAGTTCTCCGTCTGTTTTATTAGGATCCCTCTCACTCAAATCTCCCAGCTCAAAGCTATGCTTCGGACTCAGAAGCAAATGTTCAAATCGTAACTGAATTCGTGTCTCATGCGAAAAGACCAGTGACTCCCAGGTTTCCAGTAGATAATCAAAAAATTTATTTTTTAGCAGCTGATTGAAATGTAGATTCAAATAAGGATGCGACAACAGACGAAAGCAGGTCCCCGATTCTAACGGATTTTTAAGAGTGACATTGTTCAAGGCACCGTGATAAAACTTGTCATAGACCTGACCCCAATAATTGTTGATTCCTGTTTTATTCATCCAGGCTCCGATATCCACGAAGGATCCCACTTTCTCCTCCGCACAAACAATGTCCTCAAGCCAGTCTACTTTTACTGCGGGGTACGGAGCGATCAAGCAGTTTGTCATGATACCGCTGTAACAGTTTGTAAGAATGACCGCCATGACTGCCAAGACGCCAAAGCTTAGGCGGTAAAACGCTTTCTTTTCTAGAACAGAGGTTGTCTCTTCACATAGTGCTGCAATAACGAGAAGCCAAGGTGAAAGCAAGGAATCATCGATATCGGCGTACATCATGTACAACTTCAAACAAATCACAATCAGGAATAAAGTGATAAAGAGACTGATCCATAAATCTAGTTGAAATGGGGTGACATAAAACTCAAAAGTTATAAATCTTGAAGAGTAACATGACAAGAATTTTTCACCGTTAATAGTGAGAGGAATAATGTCATCCTTCCCCAAAGCGTCGAGCACCGGGTTCCTCATAACGTTGGGGTAGCCTATATAACCGTGATGGGGCTTTACGAAGTCTCTTGTAACGTTCACTCTCAAAGCTATATCCTGCATCAGGTAGTTTTCGACAATCAGCGGGTTTGTCTCCGTCCAATCGAATGGATTCGTGGGACCGATTTCGTATCGAATCATCCCGTACCAGCATTCCGCATTGGCATAGAGGCGGCCTAACTGCGCCGTCGGGCTTTCCACTACTCTGATACAGCTCATATCACTAGCATATAACCGACGCCACCGCTTCAAAGTACAAATCTCAAACTCCTTTTGGTCAGCGAAAAATGCCAATTGATAGATGGATGATGAGTATTCAAAAATATCGGTACGTGTGAAATGTTTTTTGAACACGTCGTCCGACTCTTGCAGAAACGTGGCGTTTCCTAGGACAAATATGTCCACGTTTTTGTAGAGAATAAGGTTCTGACGAGAACGTAGGGATCGATGGGTTGGGAAACTAAATAACCCGATGTTGTATAGTTCTCTAGATTTTAAGGGAAATCGAACGTTGAGAAAGTCAGAGATCTATGGCTTACCAGTACAATCTTGCATGATCCTGTGCGAACATTCATTGAATCTAGGGACATGTTCGGAGCGTGGATTCTCCTATGATCATGGCTGAACCCACGCAGTATCCAATTATTGTTCATTTCGTCGAAACTTGATTGTGTCACGGGACAAAAAACTGTTGTTGTGGGATGGTCGTGTGATGCAGAGAAAGCAATGTGATCTTCTCCATCACGCAGTATTTGAATGTCGCAGTTCGGATTTACCCCAGAAAAAAATGTGGACATTGGAAAATGCCTGGCAAAGGCAAAAACGCAACAAAGGGTAGAAAATACAAAATACCCGGCTAGGCAGGTCATTAGTGAAATCATTTCAACTTTCGCGATGTCGATTGACGATTGGGTGGGAGACGTTCCAGAATTGATCAATTGAGACTATATGATATATTCTTAAAATGATTTGATTAATTAAATTCACCAGATTTTATATTTCTTGCAAAGCAAAATGTGTGCCTGTTCTTTTCCGCTCTAGGCGTAGAAAGCATTTGGTGGTTGCTTGGTAATAAAAAGTCAAAACATTTTATCAATTTTAGTAATGGGACGCTTCGCGTGCATAATCCATCAAATCAATTTAATTAATCTACTTATGAATACTTTTAATACATTTTAATACTATTTACTTACTTAATACATACTTTTAATTCTAAGAACTCAAATGTGGAAGGTTCACATATATTAAAAAAGCCACCAGCAATACTTTTACAACAATTTGTTATGATGTTTATGATTTCCCTTAATTTATTAAGGGAATTTATTATTAGATTAATTAAATTGATTTGATGGATTATTTTCCCTGAATGGGACCCCCTCTCAAATGTTTCAGTAGTATTTGATAGCTCATTAATTCGGCTGTAAAAAAGGCCAATATAATTTGTCCATTACCATTCTTATACAACGATATTCTAAAAAATGCCAAGCTCAAGGTGGACCTCCAATATTTTGAGAACCCACACTCAAAACATAAATTTGTCAAATCAACACCGCCGATGTAAATATATGACTTCACCGCCCGGTTACAATTGTGATTCCGAGTAGTAATGAAATTTTTCCGTCCGGTCATCACATTATGACTACCGGTATCAAAATCATCATACATAACTCGGATTCAACATTTTAACCAATGCGGTTAAGCCATTTATGGACACCGGAGGTGTTGATTTGACAAATTTCTGTTTTGAGTGCATTGTATGAATTGGTGCTTAATATGGTTTCTTGATAGATTTCCGACATTTAATACTCACATTACAATAAAAACATTACAAGTTTAATGGAATGATTGAGAAAATTAAATGCGGTTAATGTATTTATTTTTTAAAGAGATAAAGACACAGATAGGGGTATGCGGAGTATATTTATTTACTTTTCAATTTTGTATAACATCAAAGAAACGAGTGAATAACAATAAACCAAGTTGTGATTTACAATCTAAAATATTTGTGAACCCGGACATTACATCAGATTTTGTTCAACATGTAAAGTTAAAAAGGAAATTTTCGTATTTAATCCCAAATGACACCATAACAAATTGTAAACAATGGATTCAAGAGCATGATATCGTCATCAAAAATGCAGATAAAAATGCCGGTATATGTATAGTTTTGAAACAAGATTATGAAAATGAAATATTAAGGCACCTAAATGATGAATCTACATACACCCCGTCAACCCCAGCCCATTACACGAAAAGCAGAGATGATTTTGAGGACCTTGTAAAGTGTCTAAAAATTCAATTTGATAACGGTACCCAACTTCAACATTTAATAATTCAAAACGACCAACCTTGTAAGTTCTATATATTGCCTAAAGTACATAAAACCTTTGTCAGAATACCACCTGGTAGGCCCATTACAAGTACATGTAATGCATTTAACAGAAATATTAGTGGATTAGTCGACTTAATTTTACAACCAATAATGAATTTAATTTCATCATTAATTCTTGACACTCGACATTTTTTACTATTATTAAATAACCTTACACTGCCTAAAAATAGAAACTTAGTATTACTTACCTATGACATTGAAAGTATGTATGTATAATCTTGATGTAAACCTATGTAAAAAACATTGTCTAAATAAGTATCTGAAATTTAAAGGTAAATCATCGGTACCGTATAAATTTTCCTCGTATCAATTTCAAAAACTTATGAGTTTATGCTTGGATTACAATTTTATTAAATTTAAAAATCTGTATTTTAAACAAACTAAAGGGATCGCGATGGGAAATGCAGCATCGGTGAGCGTGGCAAATATTACTGCGGAGTGTGAATTGTCTCCACTATTTGATAATTGTGAATATATATTTTTCCATGCTAGATTTGTAGATGATGGTTTCATGATTATTGATTCCACTGATATTGTTGATTTCAACGTATGGTGCATGAATATTTTTTCACATAGTAATCTTAAATTTACACTAAACCATAGTACAACCGATATTTGCTTTTTAGATGTTAATGTAAGTTTATCAAACAATAAGCTTTCTACAACTTTATATAAGAAACCAATGTCACGCCCATTATATGCTCACTATCTTTCTAATTTACCTAAACAACTTCTGAATTCATTACCGTATAGTCAAGGATTACGAATTATAAAAATTTGTTCCGAAATTGAGGACAGAGAAACGGAGATTGAAATCTTGCTGAATACATTTCATAACCGTTGTTATCCTAATGATTGTATAGATAATACGCGACAAAGATTAGCTCAAATATCAAGACTAGATTTATTAACTAAGTGTAAAAATTTAATTATAGATAATTTAAAATTACACCACCCAGAAATTCTTTGTAATATGAAGGTCAAAACTGAAACTCATGATTCCATTTTACATAGATCGTATGTTGTAATGCCATATTACAAATCTTTACCAACTCTAAATAGTCTCACCATTGAGTTTATTATGAAAGAAAGTGATCGTATATATACACACATGTTGCATACGCTCAATGTTAAAGTAAGTTACAGAAAGATAAACTCACTTACGAGGCAAGTATGTAATAATATTTAGTATGTAATATGTATATGTACATATCATCACCGAGGACGCCAACTTCTGCCCAACAAACTACTCCGTCTTTTTACTTTGACACAATCACATGGATTTTTAGTCTTTCCAATTCTAAATAAATACTACTAAATATATTTTTATAAATATTTTTAAGAAAAACTCCCTGTTTCAGGTAAATTTTATTGTATTTGGTAGCGACGTATTATTATTATTACTATTATACATTTTTGCATTTAATTCATATATTTTTAGGGATGAACTTGAACTATTTTATATAGTAGAGATCTTCATTTATTAAATTTACCACTTTGTAAAGGTATCAAGTCATTATATATACATTTTACAATAATTTTGCAATAAGTCTACAATAATTTAATTACAATTTTTTGCCATTTTTCACATATGTATGTATGCAGCCTGATGAAAGATTATGAAACCGGTCGCTACTGCAAAATTACTTCAATAAACAAATCTTTCCATTAGTTTGAAGTGCTTTAATTCATTCAAAATGTAGCGAACCATAGTTAACAAGCCGTAGTTTAAGACTGTTGTGGATGACGCGATCTCAGTCAACCCGTGTTTAAAGTCTTTGTATGTAATTTCTAAAATGGCATCAAGATAATTAGTGCTGAGATAATTGGGACTTTTGATATTTTAATATAAAGCTAATTTTTGGTACTACAAAACCTTGGTGTTTTTAAAAATTAGAAAATTAGAAAAAAATTCATTAATTCATTAGAAATTCATTAGAAAAAATTAGAAAATTCATTTTGGAAGTGCAAAAACTGTAAATGAATTTTCTAATTTTTCAAAACACCAAGGTTTTGTTTAACCAAAAATTAGCTTCACATTAAAATATCAAAAGTCCCAATTATCTCAACACTAATGATCTTGATGCCATTTTAGAAATTACATTTAAAGATATTGAATACGGGTTGAGTGAGACTAAACACTCATGAAAATGAAGTAGAGCCTTAAAGCAGGGCCTGACACACGCAAGGAAGTCGGGTCGAGCAGTGGGCATCGTTTAGGCAGTGGCGTTGCGGCCAGAGGTCGTACCGAGGTCGGAAAGTAACGCAGGCTTCGTACTGCAGGTTCAGCTGCAAGTGACGGCTCGGTTCGAACGGATTCCAAGCCAGCTTATGGCTCAGTTCACGCCCGGAATGAATCCAACTCCACCCCGCGGCGGGCACATTTACGGGAGCGTTGCTTAAAATATAGTCCAGCGCGATGCCACCAATCCATAATTCCGCTCGCAAAATATCTATGGAAGAACAAAATAAGTAACATTATACTAATTTTTACCACAAATAATTTGACACCGAAATTGAGTCGTTTGTATATGTACATGCTCCACCTATTTAGTATGTACGGATTTAGTACCGGATTTCTTAAGAAGGTGTATGTACACATGTATAACGGATAAGGCCATCATGCCCGGATAATTTGGAAATCCATTTTTCGTCCAGCACTTCAAAATCCGGACTTAATTTAGAAGAGAATCCACATTTCTTGAATTTACATGTGTTAATTTTAATTTGTAAATATGTACATACATTGCCATGAATATGGCAAAATATTTTTCTCTTAAAATATTTTTCTTCAAACTTGCAAATTGTACTGCACACACGACTTTACCTTATTTCTAGTGACTGTCGTCGTATACGTGTACGAATTGTACGTACGTATCCAAGAATAATTTAATGCCGGGTGTCGAAAAGTGTAGATACCCGTCATTGACGTACATTCATAACTACTCACCAGTACAATTTTGGAGTAACAGCATGAAGCTGAAGTTCTGTTGCTCCACAAGATCCTTAAACTCGGCGAGATGCATTTGCTTCCCCCGTTCGCTGGTTATTCCTCGACAAAGTCGGTGACACTCGTTGAACGTCAACTAGACATGGACCACAATTTTAAAAGTTCTACCAAATCTAACACTGCGATGGTGCGAAGTGTAACCTTCTGATTTGGTTGAAATTTCGAAATTATGTGGCCAACGTTTCTTCAGGCAGTTTGTGCGATGGTCAGAATTTGGCAAAATATCTTAGGTTAAAGTTTAAATATGTGCAATTTTTTGCACGGGAAACGAATGGAAGTTGACTTTGCTTCCTCCGCCTGGTAAAAATCGCTCGTTTTTAAACTTTGACCTCAAATATTTTGACAAATTTTGACCACCAACAATCTGCCTCAAGAAACGTTGGTTGTATTGACATGGACCACATAATTTCAAAATTTCAACGAAATCTGAGGGTTACACTTCACACCATCGCATTGTTATTTCGCAAATGAATTTTAAACCCAAATATTTTCTTGCGGGATTATGTTTTTAGCAACGCAACACAAATGCATACCCCCAATGTTATGTAATGCATTTGCCCTTACTTGTTGCGGTGCGACGTAGTAGGTTTTATCGACGCCGATTGTCTCTATCGGAACCAGTCCGTTTTCATCCGTGGGACAATTTATTTCGTTGTAAAGTACTTCAGGGCTGTCATTCTTGCCGCCGTCAGGGGTGTCAAGGTCTGCAATAAAATGTATAGAAAGCGTTAGGGTTCAGACAATTTGGTTCAAAGGTTTGGGCGGTATCAAAATACAAAAATTGGGCCAACAAAATCTCTGAAAACCATCGTGATTTTGTCGAAATCGGAGGGAGACCGCTAGCGTCATCGCATTGCGCGCGTTTCTCTTTGTTAGTATTAGTATCAAATTGTTAGTTTGTTAGGTTTAGGGACGTTCGTAAACTTTGTAAAGATAGGTCGGTGGGTGGTCAGGGCCGAATGGTAATGTGCGTAAATATGTGATATATCTTAAAAGTAGTTTGGTGTTTGTCCAAAAAATAAACAAAATAATTTGCGTTATAAAGTTTACAAACGTTCCCTTTAACAAGAATGAGCTAAACATTTGCAAAAAATATTTTTCATTTAATTTTTATCCGGTGCCAATTGTTGTTGAACCTTGAGCAAATTTGATACAACTTTTATTTAGAGTTTGTGTTTCTAGGAACAATTATTTCTTACCTTGTGCGACAATGTTTCCAGAGTTGAGAAATCCCAGAAGGCAGAAAAAGGTTGCCAATTCGAAGATAAGTGAGTTCATTATGTGTTTTGCGCAGTATGTACTTCGATCGGTTTGGGTTCAGTTATCTTTCCAGTTTGAGAACGTATGCGAAATTTACGAAATTTATATCAATTTTGCACAAAAACGAAAAATTATGCAGCTTACTTACTTTTGTGCATGCCATGTGGGTAGTGATTACGTATGCAAAATATAATGGGTACACATTTTGGTAGAATTTTCCTCGTTTATTGTCTGTTATCGATTTAAACTTTCAAATTAAAGGTGTGACAAAGTAGTAGCAGGTGTAATGGAGGAAAATCCTGCAGAAATTTGGATGTGTATTAATTATAATGGAATTTTGCACCACATCCCACTGTTGAGATGGTAATAATAGATTTGTATAAAATTAACAATATCTTGTCCTGGAGTTTTATATGCGTCTTAATTTACGCAATGACACAAATTGAATTTCAATTTTCCACGATGTTCATAACAACTGATCTAACATGAAAAAAATGACGCCTTGATGGTAATATAATATTTTGAACCGTTGACCTCATCAACTTAATAAGATGTCACGGTGACCGTATGTTCATCGTCCAACATAACTCTACCTAAAAAATTCGACAAATTTTTATTTAATACCGCATATTGAAATTTGCGTACGGGTTAAACCTATCAATGACAAAGACAAGACATTTTGATAAATGGTTCAACTAGTTTCACTTTTACTAATAAAAAATAAAATCGGTTCGTTGACGAACATTATTTATAAAACTTTTCCAGTGTTATTTGTGTATGTATTCGGCATATCTCGACTTTTATCAATTTATGTATGCTAGTTTTTACGCTAGGTACACACAAGAATAAATAATTGCTCTTTTTACAAATTTATAAGTTAGTTACATTTGCTTACATAGAGGGTGTCCTAAAAGTTTCTCCCGATGGATTTTCCGATTGTTTTATGTTGCTAGCTTTTACATCTGTTTGTTTTGTTGTGAAATTTTTTTTGCAATAACATACCAAAGGTAAAGTCTTCTCGTAACCACAAGGAATTGAGTATCCTCTTACTATCAGGTGCAGGTTATGGGTTTAATTGAAAATGTGATAGTCTGGAAGGAGATAGGATTGCGGAGCAACAAAAAATATTTTAAACCAAAATGCAGTTCGGATAGTTCGAGAACACCGTCCCCATCAAAAAAATGCTCAATCAATTACCAAATTCGATGGAAATTGGATAGTTCTGCTACAAAAGCTAGAGGAGCCTAAATCTTGCATTACGGCAATTTTGGAATAATTGAGATACTTTGGTCATTACTTTTGGGACTAACCCAGCATGACAAAGGAGGGTTGCCAGACATACAGGGTTCAGTTTAAAACGCTTTTGAACCCACGAGATATCGGCTAAACTTCGCCAAACTGGTTAAAAGCATAGATTTTTGACTTTTTTGACCACTGTGGAAGGTGAAGATAAGCGTATATACACAGATAACAGATAATTTTAATCGTATTGATAATTCAATCCATAACATTTGAGACTTAGGAAAACAAATTTGAAGGATCTCACATCCTTGACAAGGCCGAAAGACAACTTTGAAATCCCGGTCCCAGGTTGGTTTCGTAAGGACCGCATATTTTGCACCATAGTTTTGCGGCATGAATGGTAGAAATGGTGAACAAGGCCGGATTACGCACATCATATTACAGTACTTTCGAAAAACATACCAGTTTGAACAATTCTATCTCCCTGAATTTGTCAGGTAACAAAATTCAGTGGTTAATAGGGAGAAACTTTTAGGACACACTCTATGTAAGTCAGAAGTATGCATACTATTAGAGTGGTGTAACTCCCTTCTCCTCCAAACTTATTGTGAACCACTTAGCTAAAAACTAATTGTAAGTTGGCTAGGAACCATTTTCCAGCATGCAATTTATAATAGTTGAAGGGCATCTGAAAATGAGGAATAAGTAAAACAAGAAGTGGAGTCGTAAAAGGTGAAACACTAGTTACCGCGAATGTGCGGGTTATCAACGTCATCTACACGAATAAAAAATAACAGTTTAAACAGTGTTGAAAAATTCCAAATATTAAATGAACCACTACTTTCACGTGTCATAAGTAAAATTACAATATCTTTCGCTATAAAATAAAAATTGTTAACTCGACCATATCTTAACCGTGAGCTGAACCTTATTAACAACCTAACCTGACCTAGTCTAACTGAAGCTGACTCTTTTGTTCTTTGGGTGCCTTTATTTGCATTTCAAAATTTGAGTTTCCGACCTAGTCGTCAGTCGGTTGAATCGTTCATAAATTTTACAGATGGTTTATAGAAAAGTTGCAAAATGAAGCATTTTCAAACCCTACCATTATTCTTTGCACCATGCTCAGTATTTTATACCTTCGCCACGCTCGAATTCGTTTGTGTGCCGCTTGTATCGTCTGCCACGTTTCCCGAAACCAAGTAAATACTTTCTCCCTTGTCTCCCGATGATAATAAACTTCGCGTAAGGCCAAAGTTAGAGACAAGAAATACAGAAATATCAGGATATAACCAATCATGATAAAATTTCCCGGCCCTACAACATCGTTTTCAAATTCTGGTGATTTCTTCGGCGGCCAATGAATAAGTGCTCGGTGCAACCGAGTTCCAAAGTAGGTTTTCCAGGTGTACAATGAATGTGGGCTTAAAATGTTCCGATCAGCATAACGTTGCTTCCACCAGTGGAGTATCCCAGATTCTTGTAGGCCATACAAACCCGGGGTTAAGATCATACCAAGCAGAGTGTTACTTGCGACGTAGAAACCTCTTTCCGTATATACTCCCGAACTTCGGTATGAAATTGGGAAATATACATTATTGAACGTTAAAAGTTTAATTAGAGCATTGCACGAAGCGTCCTTGTCCATTACCACAAAGATTTCAGGAAGTCGTTCGTAGCCATTGTTAGTTTTAATTAGGTGGTTGTTGCTAACATTAATTGCGAAGTCATACCACGAGGATAGTAAAAAGGTTGTACGATCCCGTATTGTTTTAAGGATGTTGTAAATATTAGAATTATTAGGAGCCACGACTAGTCGGCCGTTAATTTCGTTTGTGAGGAACGATACGAACCTTTTCTCATCTCCACCATTGTCCGATGACCCAGTAGCTACAATTGGTACCGAACTAAATGCAATGCTATTTAAATCGCTTCTCATATTTGGTAAAGTCCTACTGGTGAGCTGCGATGTATATGATCCCCGAAACAGGTTTCCAACAAGCATAGAAAGTATCGAGGAAGAGAGAATGGCGGTTCGAATGATCGCACTTCGTATCTGTGGGGATGATTTTCCCTCATTTCCTGGCTGATCCATTAAGTGCCGCACCAAAGTAAATGACACGTACCAAGGGGAAGTGTATCCAGTTGCTGGTAGATTTAACAGCATATTTAAGCAAAACAGTAGCAGAAAGAGGCAAATCCATGTACCGGAGTCGAACGTGGTTAACAATGCGAACCCATTAGCTTCTCGCTTTTTACTGAACACGACCGTTTTAAGTTCCAGGTAATCCCCACCGGGAGTAATGAGTTGTGCTGGTGGGCTAGTCAATTTCTTAGCATAAGCATAAGAAAGCAGTCTCTGATCTAAGAGAATGTAGCTTAATTGGAGATCAGGATTCCTCGACGGGGATGCAAACGTAAAATTAAACTTACGGCTCAATGTTATCATGGCGCAGGTATACGGATTGGGGGAGCCCTTAATTTTGTAAATCCCACATGTTTTCTGATACAGTTCTATTGTTTTCTTTGCAAGGCTACCTATTATACGAAGTCCTACCGGCCTACTATCCATATTTCTAAACTCCCTTTGGAACCGTGTGTCCAAATTTTGCAGTTTTCTCGCTCTTTTTGTTATGCTGTCGGAACCTATATACGATTTCGAGGTCTTGTTCTTTTCAATGAAAATTAAATCTAAATGATACTTTGAGAAATATATAGTAACGGTATTTCCTCTAATGTGCATTGCAAAGATGTTAGCTGAAACTTTACTTAACACGAAATTGAATGGACTTTTGTTTGGTTTAGGAAAATCGGTCGCTTCAGGGATTCCTACTCGGATAAATACATGTTGAGGTTGTGGATTTTGCACCATTAGCTGCAATAAACCATTTTCGCTATCCGGCAAATTTATTTGCTCGCCTTCTTGCAAGTCCATGAATCCAATGCGGCAATAATCCTTTGAATTTATATAGGGCGGGTTATGTTTCTGGAGAAGCAGGTATCTTTCAACCGTATTATTCTCTTGAGCGTCAAACACTAACCGGACATAAGTTTTAATATCCTTGACCAACTTTGGAAAAATGAGGCGTTCGTCCATAATCCAAAAACGTGGATCATCATAAAGGTAAGTGTTGCTAGTAAAAATGTCTAACGTACAACCAGTAAACAACTGAAGGAAATTATCAAACGTTCCAAGTTGGTGTGAAAGATGCAAAAGTGGAAGGAATATTTGCAATAACCTTGACAACATTGTGAATAATTATCGTTTATGTTTCCCAGGAGTCAAAAAACGAAAGCGACTGTAAGAATAGAAATGCAAATAGCCCATTCCCTTCTGGTTGCTAGTGCAAGTTGCTCTGAATATGCGACGTATCAAATGTAAGGACAAGCTCAAACTAAAAACATCACTTCTAATGATTCTGTTTGCTCAATATGCATATGTACGTTTTATTGACGTCATCGATGCAATTAGGGCCTCAATGTTTGGCCTTCATTAATACACATAGCTCAAATTTAAATTGACGAAGAAAATAATTTGATTTAACACATTCAACACGAAATATTGTCTCATTTTCTATGCTATGCTAAGATAATAATGGGTAAGTTATACTTCGTTCTATTTTCAGGTTTGTTATGAGTGTCCAATATTTGCGTCATGACCGGTCTTTACATTGGGGTTGTAGGTCTCCAGTTATGAAGGGCGTAACAAATTACCCACGATTTTGGAATTTAATGACGTATCCCCTTTTTTAACGGCAGAGTCAAATATTTTAAAACATTGGATGCAACTACCAGTAAGAATTAATGGTCGCTATCTAATATTTTAGAATTCTTTAGGCATATATATGCTTACAATGCAAGTCTTTTACGTGTACAACTCAGATCGGATTGGGACCAATTTTATTTTGTTCACCACAAAAAATAAGTCTACCCGTATTTTTTCATTTTTCATAATGCGCTAATTTGAGCGCGAGGCGTGAATTTTTAAACATTTTTCAGCCAAAACCTCGGTTTTTAAAAATTCTGTAAATTTTTGAATTTTAGCGCGAATCCAAAAATTCGAAAACATGTCTCTTCAGAATGACTTACTTGACTTACGAAAAATCCAATTGTCTCGAAATTTGAATTTCAAAATTTGTTGCTAGTATTTGAAATTCATTAAAATTATAAACTCTTTCCAATTTTTAATTTTCCAAAAAACAATGCGTGTGGATTTTTAATAAGTCAAATAAGTCATTCTGAAGACACATGTTTTGGAATTTTTGGATTCGCACTAAAATTCGAAAATTTACAGAATCTTTAAAAACCGAGGTTTTGGCTGAAAAATGTTTAAAAATTCGCGTCTCGCGGTCAAATTAGCGCATTAGGAAAAATGAAAAAATACGGATATGCTTATTTTGTGGTGAATAAAATAAAATTGGCCCCAACTAGATCTGAGTTGTACACGTAAAAGACTTGCATTGTTAGATAAATAATACTGTATGCAATGCATTTTTTCTAATTTTAGAATTTTTGTTGTAAGTATGATGGTTAATTTGCATATATACATACAACAAAATAAACTTGGTGGGGTTTTTTTTAAGATTATTGTGTTCTCTTGAAGCAAAACGGTATGAAATAGCTACCAATTTAGTTCGCTTTTTGTGCAAAAGACATGAAATCTGGTAGAATTGCGTGTCAAAGGTGATAAAAGTACTGCTAAAATGACAACAATTGCTTTTGCCAATATTCGATCAACCACAGCACAACGAAATATGTGAATAAAAATATTTAGAAATAATGGCAGATTCGCCAATTTTAGCTGGTAATGAGTTCTACAGTTTGATGGACATGTGCTACATAGTCTGGCATTATTTAAGCAAATTGGATTTGCTTAAAGGAAACTTAAGTACTTATTAGTCTTGGAAAAATTGCAATTTTTTCGTAACAATAGCAATCCTGCCATTCTGCCAAGGAACAATACCATTATTACACACATATAATAATTTCCAATATATTGGATACTACATGGAGTGATGGCTTTAATACTAATCCATGTGCGAAATAATCAGATGATTGGTAAACAATTAATAACTCGATAGTTAACTTTGATGTATGTAAAATTGTATGTAGAATATTGTATGGGTATGTGTGTAGAATTGTTTGGTCCAATATTGAGTAATAGTACTATTTAAGAATAATAATTAAACACAAATACATAAAATCATTACCTCATCTTTATCTGACAAGGGAACATAGGTGTCCAACGAGTTAAGGGTCGACACCTACAACAAAATGACCACAACACATGACTTATTAAACAAACTGAAGGAATTTCCGTGTAAGATTCACTTTTCGTCAAGTTGTGACGATATTTGTGACGAGCGCATGACCATCGGGTTGCCAGCGGGAGAGGTCGGCCCATGAACGATCAGGTCGAAACAGAGAAGCGTCGTCGTTTTCACGTCATCTTCAGAGATTTCAAATTCTATCAAATTTTGAAAACCACTTGAAATTTTGAAAAAAATTTGAAATTTCTTGAAAATTTCAAAAATTTCTTCAAAATTTCAAAATTTTCTCAAAATTTCAAAATTTCTTCAAAATTTCAAAAATTTCTTCAGAATTTCAAAATTTTCTCACAATTTCAAAATTTCTTCAAAATTTCAAAATTTCTTCAAAATTTCAAAATTTTCTCAAAATTTCAAAATTTCTTCAAAATTTCAAAATTTTCTCAAAATTTTTTCAATATTTCAAGATGTTTTCAAATTTGAAAGAATTTTAAATCTCTGAACACGACGACGCTTCTCTGTTTCGACCTGATCGTTCATGGGCCGACCTCTCCCGCTGGCCACCCGATGGTCATGCACTCGTCACAAATATCGTCACAACGTGACGAAAAGTGAATTTTACACGGAAATTCCTTCAGTTTGTTTAATAAGTCATGTATTGTGGTCATTTTGGTATAGGTGTCGACCTTTAACTCGTTGGACACCTCGGTATGTTTCCTTGTCAGATTAACGCAAACCTGATAAAGCCCAAACTTTTCTCTAGGCTTCGTGAAATTTACTTAATTTAGAATTTAGATTACATTTACATTTTCAAAAGGATAACATTAGTTTTAAGAGTGTAAATGTACCGTTGATTTTTGCGTCTTTTCTCTCCCACCCTTCCATCCCAGTTCTTTCGTACAGACTCCGATCTGTCTCAGCTCCAGTTTATTAAGGTCGGTCCAAACCGTTCGGCATTTCCGTTCTGGGGGTGGCTTGGTGGAGACAATCTGATAAAAAAAATTCGAAATTTGTCTGCATGCCCTTGTAATTAGTCAAGATTTTGAAATTAGCACATTACAAATATGTTTACCTACCGAAATTGCAAAAACCAAAACCACAGTCAACTTGAGATTCGTCATTTTAAAGATTTTAATTATTTCGTCAAAATTATTAAGAGATACACCTGCACAACTTGAGCTACGCTGACCAAGTGCTTCTGCTGCAATGAAGAATCTCCTTGAATAGTTTGCGCATTATATAATTTTTGCAGTGGGGTAGGTCTACTGGAGTGGATTTATGTAACAGGTTTAGATTGACTGCAAGCAAGATATGAATCTCGTACATATTTATGTATATAAAACTCCCAATGCCCCGACTCAGGCATTTTTCCGACAACATTTTGACATGCATCGCGAAAACTACCGATGCGTATTATAGTTATTGTTTTTTCATGTGCACGAAATTACGCAAATTTTAAAGCATCAAAATGGTTGCATCTCGAAAAAACGAAATTTAATTGTAATAAATACTAGTTAGACAGACGGACATCGAGGTTACATATGCCCTGTTTCGAGAAACTCATAAATGTACAGGAAAATTCCACCTTAAATACAGAAAGGACAAATTGCGTCATTGCTACTAAACTTAAGGTTGATTTGCGTTTGGGTACAAAATATATACGTATTTGCATATTTTTCAGTTAATGAAAAGTACATACTTCTAAACTACCAATGTATTAAAAATATGATTTAGTCACGTATCTACCCCACATTGGTATTGATTCGGTAATAAGTTCCCATCGGATTTAGTAGTAGTTTGCTTCTTACAGTGGGGATTGAAACCGTGTTCACTCCAGATTATTTTTTTGCCATGTTAGAGACTGTGCAGAAAGCATGTGAGTCACATGATGTGACAGGTTGGCACTTGCACAAATGCGAAAAATTCAGCAAGGTTTGTGCAGTCCGCAGTAACGCACAACTTCTTTGTCACAAGCGCAAATTACGCAGCGTATTCGCAAACTTGCGGCGTCAAGAGTGTGCAGAATTTTTCGAATCTGCGCAAGCGCCGCACTAATTTTTTTTCTAAAGAGTTGCCCTTTCGAACTATTTAACCTAGTCAAAAAATATTCTGGGATGAATATGGTTTGCGTCCACATTTTGAATTTTTTACTACTACACGGTAGTGCTTGTTATTAATGGGGGCGATAGAGTCAAATATGTAAATATGTACTCGGGTCAGAAATGATTTAATACCAGTTTTCTAAGAGTGCATGGCTGTCACGTTTTTACAAATAAACCAGTTTTATCAGCCTTTAGTGAATCAAGCGAATTTTTTGAGATGTGTCTGAGGAGCCCCGTTATAAGTACATACATAATAATTAATTATGTATAAATCTTCAAATTGACCCATAAAAATGTTTGTTGTCTAAAATTTAAAAATCAATTCCCAAAGCGACAAAATCATTAAAAACGTGTCGATATCCAAGAAAAGTCATCGAGTTACATAGGGCCTCCTCAGACACACGAAAAAATCGTCGCTTAGAATTTCGCTTTGTTTTTCGCTTATCGATAGCATGGCAAAAATTATGAAAATTGCAAAATTTTGTTCGGACCTTAACCTCACTTCTGAGTTGAGTTTCTGTTCGCTTACCCCAGAGCTCGCTTATCAGGAAGTAAGCGAAAAACTAAGCGAAATTCGAAGCGACGGTTTTTTCGTGTGTCTGCGGAGGCCCATAATAAATATGTTTTTACTTTTAGCTCCGCATTCATTCTTTGCTCAATACCAAAGGATTCCAGTTCGCAGATCATCAAGTTCGCTAGATTCGTATCGATCACGCCATTTCCTGAAGTTCGTGAATCCCTTACCACTTCCTCAAATTTGCTCAAATTAACCCAACCCCGATCGACGGATGTCGCGGAACCGTACGACTTTGCCGTGTGTGTCCAACCAACGTACAATTACGCCAACGTTGCAGAGTTTTTGGAATGGCTGGAATTCTACAAAATGATGGGTATCGGCCACTTCACCTTTTACAATATGTCGATAGGACCTCGTGTCTCGTGCGTTATGAAATCCGCGGCAGTAAATGCAGGTAATAATAATAATGGGTAGTACATGATCATTTACATAATTCGGTAACAAGGTGTCACCATGGTTTAGGCAAACGTACATTCGTATACCTGATCAAAAAATCTTTCCTCGTTCACAATTTTGCCTACTAATTATATGGATTTCTCACTATACCCCATGTGTTAAACATATTTGTATGCACGCACGTGTTCAACACAAAATTATTCATTCAAATATTCATTCATTGGAATGAAGGACAGGTAACAAATTCACTAAAATCTTCACTCACTTTCAATATGTAACATTCATTCAAATATTCGCTCATTCATTTACGAATTCATTTTTTATTCAAATGCTCACTTATTCATTAAAAGGAATCCATTTATTCATTCAGATATTTCTCATTCACTTAAGAATTCATTTATTCATTCAAATATTCACTCATTCATTCTTCACGAATATGAGCTGAAGAAATAATTTTTCAATATTCACACCTTCAAAAACATTGAAATTTATCTTTATTTTTGCGTTTAGAGACTCCAATCACAATTTTAAAGTGGACATCCCCCATCCCTGACGACAACGTTCTTCATCTTAACGGTCAACTGGCGCAAAGCAACGATTGTGCCTTCAGATACAGAGGGTTGTCCAAGCACATTATTGGTGTGGATTATGACGAATTTCTCGTACCAAATTACACCCACGCTAGAAACTTTGGCGAATTGATCAACGTTTTGGACACACTTTGGACGAGCGAACGAAGGACGGGGAGTTTAGCCAGTTACCAATTTCGTATGGGTGTTTTTGATACGAGTTTTGAAAATTTTCCAAATTCAAGGAACAACTCGACGCCCGTGAACATACTCAAATTTGGACTGTATGACTTCAAAACGTACAGATACGTTACTCGACTTGAGTTCGTATTTCCGTTTCGACGAAGGTAAGTAAGTAAAAATGTGACTATGGTTCACACACAAAAAATTGGACCTAGAAATTCTATAAGGTTACCTGGTAGTATTTGTTTATTTTCATTGTTCAATCCCTTGCAGAATTTTTTTTCAATGCTAGAGTTCAAAGTTTTCTTATAGATATCATACGAAATTACATTGTCTCTTTCAGGTAACCTACTAGAAAAATTTGTCAAAACACATATCGCGTTTATTTCAATAAGCACTATTATACATACGCAGTTTTACAAATTTTTAATAAAATTTATTACCGATCAAAGACATCAAAATGTATTCAAATCTGGTAATACAAATTACGTTTATGTAAGCATTAAAAATGTTGCTTCTTCATGCCACCGAATTCGATACCACGCATAGTGCTAATTTTCCGAGATTACACTTTTAACAACGAAAGATTTCTGAGCGGACTATTAGAAAGTTTTGTTCGAAAAGTTAACACTTCAAAATAACCCTTGACTTTTTTTCTCAGATCGAAATTGATATCGAAACCTCGAAGCGTTATCGAGCCAGGGTTGCACTGGATGGACGAAGCGGTCGGGGACGAAGTGGAGTTTCAAGTTCCGCCAGAATTTGCGTATCTTCACCACATAAGGAGATTTGATGAATGCATGGATTGCATTAATCTTCCCCAAAGGGGCGACGTAACGACGCACTTTTATGCTTCCGAACTTTTAAAGAGAGTTCAAAATATGGTGGTTACATTGGCACGTGAATGTGATTTGGAGTGATAAATATGTGACATACTTCACGTCTGTACACTTCCTATAACCCTTGCAAATCAGAGAAAGGCAGATTAACGACATTGGGATTAAGGTTTAAGATTAAATACTAATTATTCAAATCTTGGGATTAAGATTGAGATAAGGATTGATTTTTAAAATATTTGTAGATTAAGGATAAAAATTAGGGATTAAATGTAAGGCAGGATTATGTATGTAACACTGGATTAAATTATAATTAGGCGTAAGAATTAATTTAGGCCTGGATGAATTATAGCTTTACACGCAATTTTATTAAGTTGGACTTAACATTTAGTTCATTTACACGCCAAATCCGCATACCATTAAATCGCAACACATACAAATCTTAGCCCTTCATGCTTCCAACGGGTTTTCAACTTGGTACTTTATGGATCTAGAGTGACGATAAGTAATTGTTTGGTACTAAAATATATACGTGTATAAAATCTTTGAATAAATAATAAAAACAAAATCAGCTTTCACTTTCTCTCATTCTTCTTACAGACAAAAGCAATTGTTCTCATTCGCAACGTTGGAAAAATGACAGGATATTTTACGCAACTTTAACCTCTGGAATGTCTCATAATTTTATTTCAGTTCCATCTCTAGCACAATGAGGCTCCACACCCTAACTCCTACGCTACATTTGGTGTCAGTTTTATGTCAAATTAGTATAATTTTAGCAAACAGTGAGCAATCCTATCATCCCACTAAAGTAAATCCGAACCCATTGTCGCTCGCTTACTTGACCTACCTGGAACAAGGGGAAATTAAAATCTATGAGAAAACCAAGCAACTAATAACCACTCTGGAAAATGGGATGAAAGTTCTTCGTGATTATGTCAAAGATTTTGAAGAAAGCAGGGATAACAGAGATAGAAAAGGTGAAGGATTTGAATCTTTCCCACACCGATCCCATCCTGTCACTACGCTCCGGCTGATTAGCAGATTTGCTCGCAAATTTCCATACTTTTGGGATGCTTTATCTACCATGTCGGAAAAACAGACCGGTAAGTTAGTTTCTCGTACATAGTAAAAAAATTTTAGTAGCAACCATACGTAAACAGATATATTTACTTAACTCGCGTATATACCATTTACAAAAAAAACAGACATTTTTTTACGTTTCGACATTTTATGACATTGGACCGCGTTCCCAGTTTCATTTATCAGTTCGAAGTGATAACGAATTCCGAAATCTGATTTAAAATGGTAAAAATTATGTTTTCGGCATTGAACATTTAACGGTGCCCATTTAAATTACTTCTAAAATTAGTTGTCGATAGCCGAAAGTACAAATTAACTAAATTAATCTTTACGAACTTATCGTGCTAATAGACATACAGACCGAAGGACACATCGGACACATCTTTTAACGACGCATCGCTCCTTAATAATTATGCGCATGATCCATGGACATCTTAACCAATTCCAGGAATCATAAAATTTTAATATTTTCAGACTTACTTAACACCATTTCCACCTTGGAGGACACTTTGACCATATTTCCAGACCAGTACGACACCTTCGATGCGATGGAGTCGGTCCTCCAATTGCAACAAGTTTATCAATTCAGCGCCATTAAGGTTTGTCCGTTAAACCAGACTATTTTTCAAAAATAGTTCACCAAAAAAATTAACAAGCGAACGTTATTTCAGCTTTCACAAGGAAAATTAACCTCAAAATTAATCCCAACAAATAAACTGCCATCTTCCGGTCTAACTTATCAGCACTGCATCGGTCTCGCGGGTATAGCCAGTAAGCTTCAACTCCACTCCTTGGCCGAGGAGTGGCACCAAGCTGCAGAATTAATCGCAAATTCGGACCACAGTTACGAAGCTGATTTTACGGAAAGATTTGATCAACGTATGTAAGATACATTCATAACTCTAACAAAATAAATAATACCGTGTTGCACTAACCCGGTATTAAAGTTTTACAATATTGGCATAAAATTTTTACCGACCAGGAGAATTTTAATACCAAGGGGTAGCAACTTTAATACCGAGAAGTAAATATCTGCGTGACTATGTATACCGGATTTCTAACAGTGTATTTGCTGGATACCTTTAAATACGCAAATAAAATGTACAGATAAAATGTACACTCTAAGAACTTCTATCACCGGATTATCACCGATCGGTGACATTAGCGGATGTGATCGTATGACAGATCGTAATTAATGTATCCCAATTATTATATCCTGTTAGTTAAGGGTGTTCCCACATAGTTATCCCGCTTTAACTGGGAGGTAGCATTTGAACACCGTCCGGTAAAGTCAAATATACTCACCGATCGGGGATATATAATCCGGTGTTAAAGTTTCTTAGAGTGCATGGACCTACACATACATAAATAAGACTTAAGTATTTCACATTTTTAAGATCTCCTATGCCTGTTGAGGAGATTACTAAAAAAGAAAATTTGGCAAATGCAATGCCGCAAGATACAGAAGATTTAAAATCTAATCCATTCACAAACTGTGGTGTAAACTTGGTAAGGCAAACAGCTAGTTTTTGGACAATTTGAAAGTCCAATGGACTAAACATACGATTTTTTCAACTCAGACACCTGTCGATCCACAACATAATTTGCGCTGTTATTACGACCATTCGAGAAGCAGTTATACGACCATCCTTCCCCTCCGGGTGGAAACCTTGTCCGAAAAACCGGACGAGGTACTCCTTTTCCACGGGATCGTTTCCCGCAACTCCACCAAACAACTGATAGCCGCGGCATGGCCGGAAATAACGGAAATTGGACAATCCCCACAACTTAAGGAGCCATGCCTCGTTCAATTTACCTGTAAGAGATGCATACACAAGTTTAAAACAAATATGTGTACATATTCTTTGTCCTACGATTAATTGTACCCTCTTATACAAAAATGACGTTGCCCTTTTGAACCATCAAGGTAGTCTAAATCCTATATTAAGTAAACTATATATACAAAATCCTGAGCACCATATAAAGGTAAAGCTTGCTCAGGATTAAGGATAGTATATCTGCATAATTTAGAATTCACAGTTGGTTTACAGAATATTCTAAAGGATGACATTATCTTTAACATTGTATGTGAGCGATTTCTACGAGATTTGGCATCTCTGAAAATGTTGCATAATTTAGTTGATAACACATAATTGATGTACATTTTAAAAGTCGATATTTAATATAACATTTTCTATAAATAGATTTATCAATTTTTACTTCCAAACAGTTTTACGGCGTAAACAGATTCCCCATATATCACGGAAATTGGAGTTGATGCTGGGTTTTCACGAAATAACGGATTCCTTAAATACCCTTTTGTACGCTTTTGGTATAAAGCTAAGTTATTTTTAAAAATTCGCTTATATCTAGACAAGGATCTGATAATAACTACTTGCAAATTTTAGGGAGGAGCAACTCCCCTCATCACGACGTTAATGTGACGGAAACCCTGCACGATTTCAAAGTTGGGCCGACGGCTTTCCCATTTTTTCGGGAAAGATACTCAACCATGCTGCTCTACGTAAGTTAAATGACCAGAGTGTGGGAATTTGATGCGCGATTTGGGATTTTGTGGGATGTGGGATTTTGATAAATAATTAATTTCTTCGAAGAAATTATATTCGCAAATTCGTCTTGCAATGGAGGTCTCCCAGATTTTGCTCTAATATTTTGACCAAATTCGTGCCAGCCAATTAGAAATTTAATTAACATGAAATTTGCAAAAATACACGATCTCCCAATACGCAAGTTTAACAAAGATATTAGCATCCGCAGAGGGGAAAACACGCAGAAAATTTGGAAAATATACTTTTTTTCAAGTTTTACAAAGTTTTCTCCTCTTTGCATGCATACACCAAACGATCCCGTCATACATGACAACTGGCGAATTGAGAGATAAAGAGCACCGTTTAGCAATTTTGTAATAAATTTAATTTGTGATCGTTCGTTCCTCTTTTTGAAATTTATTCCGCGTTATGTAAGTAACTAGACATTAATTTAGTATTAATAAGATTGCAGTTTGGGAAATGGAAATAGTATCCATTTTATGATCACAGCTATCAGAATACAATTTATTTATCTTTAATTAGTTGAATGACGTCGAACTTGGAGGTGACACTGTTTTGCCGGCCCTTAATATTTCCGTCAAAGCAGTCGCAGGTTCTGCAGTTTTATGGTAGGAGGGCAATCATTCTTGTCCAATTTTATTACTGAGAAGATCACCTATTTGCATATTTTACGACAGGTACAACCACAACGAGAAGGGGGAGGTATTACAGCGCATGACCCATCAGGGGTGTCCCATCTTAGTCGGACACAAATTCGTCATTGCGAAGCATCCACAAGTTCACAATTATAAAATGGGACCCAGTTGTGACCACGATTACCACACTTATTAAGGATTCCAATCCCATTATGGTCGAGGCATTAAAGTTATTTCTACATGAATTTCTTTAGTAAAAATGTATTTAATTGTAATTCCTTTTACATAAAATTGTTTGAAATAAATGTAAGCATTATTACATATGTAATCGAAGCTCATTTTTGTTTTACTTTCAGGTTTATGGCTTAACAAGTACAAACCATACCAGAATACGGACAAAAAAAATTGGAAAACATATCTGCATACAGTTGAACTAAGGAATACATACTTCACTATTTTAATTTAATTTGAATTCATATAAAACTTGAGTGTATCAAATTTTCCACTTTGAACCGCTCTCCATATTGCTTACCCGTCCAGATTTATTTGTCCGTGTTTTGCCTTGTCCAGCCCTGTACCACTTTATCCTCATTTATGCCCGGAACCCATTACTTTCTTCGGCGCATGCGTCATGGAGAGTGAGTGGGACTTTAAAATCTGTCCAAAATTAAAAATTGATACAAATTCGGAATATGAAATTCCGGGCAATTTTTTCCAAAGAAAATTTAAATAATTACAATGAATGAATGCTTGAATTAAAGAATACAAATGAATGTATTATCAATAAATTGGTGAACTTTAAAAATTCAAAACTACTTGGTTTAGAATGCTTTTTTTCAATAAATATTTATTCATGTCCAAGAAATTATTTTTATTAATCATTTTTTCATACTTATAAATGGCCAATATCAAGTAGTATGTACTCGTGACGAATTGTTACTTAAATTTTGTTTAATTATTTTAATGAAATATATCAAATTCAAAATTTTGTTTGAATTACGTAAATATGCATGTTCACATGTGACTCTACCGTCACTAGTGGTACTTATTTTTATGTAAGGTGTATTTACTACTATCACCACCACAGTCATTTTCTGGATTAGTCGTCATATTCAGTGTCGCCACCGTCCGAGCTAAGGTCGAGTGATGCATCCGAGTCAGAGTCTTCCATTAATTCACCCTTGTACTAGGGTTTGCTCTGTTTAATAAGAATGATACTCATACATAAGTACATAAATTTGTT